CCTTGTTATTTATCCATTCTGTATATAGTGGTTTACAATTCACCTTTTTTAACCTCTTTAGCTACATCTCCTAGTTTTAGACCTCTTTTGGTATGCCCATATCCCCACTTTTAGAATAAGAAATCTTTGAACCCACTCCCATAGGTTAAATCCTGGGATTTGCTCAATCTACAGGCCTACGTGGACATGCAGGTTGGATTTCCCCCCAACTGGTCCAGTTTAGGCACATCTTATGCTGCCTCTCCACCATTCTCGATCTCTCCATTAAACTTCTAATTAGTCAGATAGCTACCCATATAAGCTAAGCTGTAAATGGGTTTAAAGCAGAAATCGCAAATGGCATCCCAAGGGCTAGATGGGGTAGGCAGCTGAATTTTGTTTGGCCTATACCATGCTTTTAGAAATGGGAGCCAACATTCAACAATCTGGAGACTTTTCCCAGAGTAGAAATCCAGATTTCTCTTCTCATTAAAATATGGGAATTATTACTTGATTTTACACTCAGCCCTACCAATTTTAGAAACCGAAATACCTTCATCCAGATCTTCTAGTTTAAGAATGCTTTCAAATCAGTTGTAATGTTTTCCTGCTTAAAAAAAAAAAAATGGTTCAAACTAAAGAAGTGTATTTTGTTGGGGGGCGAGCGGCGCATGTCTTCTTCGTAAGGCTGGGGATGCAGGAGCTGATGCATTTGCAGACTCCGTTACGCTGAGTACCCTGTTCAGAGGTTGGTTCAGTCTCCCTCCCTCACCCCCACCTCATGCCTCCCCTTGGCACATTACTTCCTGTAACATATACCTTTCTTAATGTAATGGGTGCATTAGTCTATCATAGCTTTTCCGTAGCTAGAACGGGCCAGAGCGGTGATGAAGGGTTTATCAGGAAAGCAGCTCAGGGGTAGGACTTCATAGATACTGCGGCAGCACCTTAATCGGGAAATCCAAAGGACTGTTGGTGATGGGAGGGGAGAGGGAAGGACATTTGGATCGCCAGAGGATTTCTTCCCCTGGGTCTCCTGACTCAGAAACATTAAAACATCTAATGCAGCTTTATTCTCCATCCTCCTTTAAGCCTTAAATGTCTGCCTTTGGGGCATGGACTGTAATAGACTAGGGCTTTAGGACCAGTCTCTCTGAGAAGCAGCCGGTGTTCAAGAAGGGCCCTTGACACCATTCTGACTTAATGCCAGACACATCTGCGGCTACTTGGACAAAATTGACATTGTTTGGAGTGCAAAGCAATCGCCTAGCACAGCATTAGGGAGCATTTACTCTTGAGCCGGGCTACCAGACAGCAAATCTTGACCTTTAGGAGACCAGAGATTAGATTTCATTGCTGCAGGCGTTGAAGATATTGTTAGGAATTTGTTGCTATTCAAAGCAGATTGCAGGAGTTCCCTATGGGTTTAATTCATCGAATCAATCATTTTTTGGAAGGTTCTTTTAAAGCCAAGATAGCTTCAAATAAAAACTAGGATTACTTTTACATTGATTGTCAGTAGCTGGTGAGGAGCAAAGGGGCAGCACTCTTGAGACGCTGTTAAAGTTTTCATATTTGTTCCTTGGCTGGCAGGCGTTCTGTGGTATTGGAGAGAAGAGGCAGGTTTCTTCGATAGGCATTTGAGGCAGTTGTTGCTGGAACAGGCAGGAAATGAGAGTAAGGATTTGACTACCCTCTGGGTGTAGATTTCTCAAGCCCTTTAACACATTCAGTGCACAGATCTCCCGCAGGTTATCTCAAAGTGCGTCATTTAAAACAAGACCTGTTTAAGCCAAACGGGTTAAATGGGCTCATTTCATCGAGCTAACCCATATAGATACCCAGTCTCCTCCCCGATCTGTGTGTGGGTGCGTATCTGTGTGTGCACGTATGGAGTGTGTGTGTCTGTGCATATAGGTGGTCTCTCTTACCTGGACGTCAGTTTCCCAGCTCCCTCAGCCCTCTTGAACCCAGAGTTATAGAGAAAAGATTTCTGAGGGTCTCTGGAAAGGAAGTACCACACACAGTGGCTGGACTCAAGCCACGTGCTTCCATTCTTCCAGCGGACTCTCATCTGATCTTTACTGATTTTTATTTACCATGAAATTCATATTAAGCTCTTTCCCTCGGCTTCCGATTCCATTGTCGATTAGATACTTCGAGGAGACTATCTCCGTGGCTTCTCTTCGCCTCTCCAAATTTGCTTCTTACTTCTCAAAGAGGGAGTTTGCGCTGGATAATCCTATAGCACTGATTTCATTGCAACTAGAAGGTGATAAGGATTGCTTTTTAAGGCAGAGGCAATAGCAGCAAAAGAAAAAAAATCTAGAGCCCAGGAAGGGAGGGGGGGGCAAGCATTAAGGCAGATAGAGAGCTGCCACTCCCACAGCATAATAGTGGGGACCTGTGACATCAGTGGAGGTTGCATGGAGGTCAGTCTGTTCAGTTTAAGAAGTCAGGATAATGGGTAATTGCTGTAAAATAAAAGAAATTTATCTAAAATTGTCAACATTTAAAAGTTTCATTGCTGGAAGGAGGAAACTTTATTATCAGGATAACGCATGTCTTTGGAGCAAGTTGTTGCTCGACTCTGTTGAAGACATGAGACCCTTTTATGGCAGGTGCGTGTTAGGTGGGCCATGTACCTTGTTGCTGAGGTTCAATGTTGTGTCTTCATGGCGCTCTGCACAACTTCAGTGGGGAAATAAAAAGGAACCCAATTCTCTTCTCCTCCATTCAAGGGAAAGATGCAGTTGCCAGGCCTTTCTCCCTGTCATTTACAGAAGAGTTCCTGTGTGCCACGCATAGCGCTCCATGAGGGAGGCGTTGCTGCCCCTTAGGCAGAGAGGAAAACTGAGGATCACAAGGTGAAATAACACAACCACCAAAGCACGTGGCTGGGACCCAGACTCAGCTCTGTCTCTTGAAAGGTTCTTGCTGGCACCACTAGGCCAAGCTAGGGCTCCCAAACAGATGAGTAAACTGAGGCACGTGCAGCTAAATGGTCTTGAACAAGTTGCAAAGGATGACCAGAATGAATATTTCATTCTCAGTCCTCTGACCTTCTACTAAACCATACTTTCACCATTCTGTATAGATTACCTGTATATTAAGAGCCACTGTGAATTCATAATTTGCCAAGTATAAAGACGTGTACACAGATGTGCATTATAAAGAGTGATTACTACTCACCTTTGCTCTCATGGAAATACATCCATATGTGCATTATAAAACATGGCTGAGCATTTCTACCAGGCTTCAAAACCAGCCTGGCATAGCCATTGAGTCACCTAGGTACAAGCTGTCTACAGACAGTGGGTTTCAGGGCATCCAGGGGAGTGATTTACTTTTCAACTGATGCTGAGGTACGGGTTGAGTTTCTTAGAATCCATGCGTAAGGATGTGGTTTATTTACAAGAAATACAGCCATGCAGTTGCTGAAAGAACAACTAAAACAGGGTAATTGGGCCAAGCACTATGCCCTGGACACTAGAAGTTAGTGAACATGCCAATTTGGACTTGCTTGAGTTTATTTATTTAAAAAACTTTTCCTGAGACTTCCCTGGCAGTCCAGTGGATGAGACTTCACGCTCCCAATGCAGGGGACACAGGTTCGATCCCTGCTCAGGGAACTAAGATTCTGAATGCTGCACAGCGTGGCCAAAATAAATAAATAAGAAAATAAAAATCTTTTCTTGCAAAGGCATCTTATTGCAGAAAATCGAAGAAATACCAATAGCAAGAAGAAATAAAATTCACCCATGGCTCTACCAAGTGGAGATAACAAAATCAAACACACCAAGTAGAGATAACAAAAGCAAACACATCCTCTCCTGTGTAAACCTATATTGTTCATGAAAGGATCGTAATTTATATTCTGTTTTGTAACCAGCTTATTTCACTTAAAAGTGTTAGGACCATCTTTTCATGTCATTAAATATTCTACAATGTCATCTTCTCTGGCTGCGTGTATCATGGCTTATGTTTAAGTTCCATCACTTTCATAATGTGTTTCTGTTGAAGGTCCCAGAACCACAGCCCAGTGAATGGAGATCTTTATATACTACTGCCCAAAACAACGTCCTTGGCCCTGCCTTCTCTCCTGCTACTATTAAATGGTAAATGAAAGCTACAGACCACATCCCTTCCAGTCCTAACACCACATGAGATAACATATGAGAACGTGTGCAGAACCTTTGAAATAAGCCTTGGGCTGCAGTCAATACTTATTGCCGGTAATTCCCTACTTATGCAGTAAGCGGCCATCGTGGTGTACAGCATTTATGGTTCCAGAATGCTTCTTCCTCCAGTTTCATTGTCAGCACTGGGTCCTGGGTCATTCTAATCATCCTTTCAGAAGTGAGGAGACTGAGGCTCAAGAAGCTGTAGTGAGTGAGTCGCAAAACCAGATTCTGAACCCAGACTTTTCGATTCTAAGTTCACTGGAATTGTAATGTGGTGCCTGTGTGAAGGAAGGAAGGAAGGGAGGGAGGGAGGAAGGGAAGCAGGCAGGAGGAGAAAAGCTTTCCAAAAAGCGGCTATAAAGATAGGCGTCTGTGGCCCTTGCTCTGTGGGGCAGGCAGGGAGGGCAGGGCGCATCTCCAGTCCATCCGTGTGCACCTGTCTGCTTACCCCCCACCAAGATAAGGGAGAAACAGAGACAGCACCTTTCTCAGGCACAGGCTTCAGACTCAGAGGTCTCAAAAGACAAAGCCATTTCTCTCTGTGCTTTTGCAATCACGGCACAATCGACCACACGTGTTCACGGTTCTCTCCCCTCGCCTCCCCTCCTTGCACACCATGCAGGCGGAGGAGAAGCGCACTGACAGGAGACACCTGGCTGGGGTAACAGCTGAAAGGGCTGTGAGTCCGAGGAAGGGAGTGGACCTGAGATCTGTCTTCAGCCATCCGAGGGGCTGGCCACGCAAGGGCCGCTAGTCCTGAGCTCCGAGGCCTCGTAGGGCCAGACGCAGTGGGTGAAAGGCGCAAGGACCGTGATGCCTACTCTTTATTGCTTACAGTGGATGGAGCCAGCCCTTTGGCTGACCGTGGGGCACAGACTTGCGGGAAGAGCGCCGTCTTCGGAGTTTCTGCAGGTTTACATCTCATCAGCCGTGAGCCACTTGCGAGTCGCCCAACGTGTCTGAGTCCCAGTTTCTTCGACCACGGAACAGAGGGGAAATCGAGGTAAGTACCCGTTTTTACAAGGATATGAATTCATGTAAACAAAGTGTCTTGCTTATGCATGAAATGCCGGGCATGTATCAGGAACTTCCTAAAGTTGCCGTCTGTCCATGTTCCTTGCGCCTGGAGGGTACATCAGGGCAGGGGATTAAAACCACGCGGGTGGTCTGTTAATCTTAAAGGCCTCATCTGGATCTGAGAGTCTCCGATTTTGTGAGTTGATGAAATTGTGTTCTTTTTGGTTGGGGGGCATGGGGGGAGCCATGGTGATAAGGTAGACACAGCTCCAAGGAAAAAGCTGATACTTTGAATACTGATTTATTGAATTCCCTTTGGCATGTGAACGGAGTAGGCTGTGATTCTCTAAAATGGTGGCTACGGGTTGGCTGGGGAGGCCTTACCAGACCCTCGGGAATCTCCTCAGTGTCTCCAAAACAACCCAGATAAATATACCGTCTATACCACACAAATTGTTTGTTTGCTGTGGAAATTCAGCACCGGCACAAGGCTCTACCTGCACGCCCCAGTCCCTAAGCCCCTCCCATGTAGAAAATGGGGAGCAGCCTTGGCGTATAACTCGGTGAACTTGGTCAATGTGAAGGGGAAGATAAAAACACACATTCTCTTCTAGCCTTGCCGGTGGTTAATGATTCCTTGGATGGAAGTTGGGTATGAAGAAGCTGCGTTCCTTTTTTAGGAGCCCGTGTACCGTTCCATTCATGCCCATAGTTGGCTCACGTCCCACAGCTCCTAAGGCTGGATATCCATGAGGAGAAGCAGTTTATTAGAATATATCGTGTGGGGTAGCATGAGGTGAACCCAAGGATCTGCATCTTTCAGGTGAACTATTTCTTGATCCTAGAGCAAGGGTTGGCTGTCTTTGCAAAACGGTCAACTATAAAACTACTTTTATTTGACATTAGATTTATGCTTTCATCCATTCAATTAATCAGCATGTGTTTATTGAGAAGCTTACTAGGCCCTGGAAATAAAATATTGACTAACAGGGTCCCTGCCCTTAAGAAGTTTGGAGTCTAGTGGAAAAGAGTTGCTCTGAAACTCAGGGTCATAGGGTGCGGTCTGCCCAGCCATGGTGGGCTGTCACATCACTGTCACCAGACTGAGGGGAAAGTCTGGCTCTCTTGGCTGTGGTGCTGTAGCATCCTGGACCCCTGCTGACCCAGGGTCCATTTGTGGAGGCAGAAGGATGGGATCGCTCACACAGTGTATCAAAGGTAGAAAAGAGCAGGTGGTAAATCCTTTGCAAGGCTTCATAAACTTCTGCAAGGTAATTCTGAAATAAACAAGCTCGGTAAATGATACAGAACCTACCAATGAATCACACTTGAACTGTTCATTTCTCTGCTTCCTATGCTTGTGGGCTAGTTTTTAAGGGTATACTTTCTACCCTTTATCCTGAGTTAAAACAGTTTGGCTTCCTTCCTTCTCTCCCCACCCCATCCTGAACAGTACTTTCCATTAAAATTTTCCATCTTATCCTGTTACCTTTCAGTATCTCACTCTCATCTAAGCTCAGTAGTGGGAGTACAAAAAATTCCAATCTAACCCCAAACTTAGTCAACTTCAGGGTCTCTTGGGAGAGACTGTCACAGTCTGGGGATAAGACACGGAGAAAGAAGGGGAGAGGGGAGTAACAGTCCCTAAAGAATCTATCCTGTGATAGGCAAGGTTGTGTGCAGTGTGATGACGCAATAACCACAGCCCCAAGTCCTTATTCCTGAAATCCCAAGAGTCTGACAAAACAATCTTTTTCTGAAGTTTGTAGCAAACTCCCTGGCTGGCAAAACCAGGCCTGAACTGACATGAATCTATTTATAGTCTTGTATTTATCCTTAGTATGAATATTCATACATTTCATTAAAGAATATTAATGTGTTTAATTATGAGCTGCTGCCACACACCCTGTTGGGGGTGTTATGTAATTTATGGAAAATGCCTCATTAATTTTCTAAAATTCAAAAAATTCTGAATTCTTAAATACATTGGTCTCATGGATTTCTTTTAAGGGCTTGTGGAACTATATATATATATATTTTTTTTTAATATTTCTTTTCTTTTTAACATCTTTATTGGAGAATAATTGCTTTACAATGGTGTGTTAGTTTCTGCTGTATAACAAAGTGAATCAGCTATACATATATACCCATATCCCCTCCCTCTTGTGTCTCCCTCCCACCCTCCCTATCCCACCCCTCTAGGTGGTCACAAAACACGGAGCTGATCTCCCTGTGCTCTGCGGCTGCTTCCCACTAGCTATTTTACATTTGGTAGTGTATATATGTCCACGCCACTCTCTCACTTCGTCCCAACTTACCCTTCCCCCTCCCCGTGTCCTCAAGTCCATTCTCTACATCTGCGTCTTTATTCCTGTACTGCCCCTAGGTTCTTCAGAACCTTTTTTTTTTAGATTCCATATATATGTGTTAGCGTACGGTATTATATATTATTTAAAGTCTGTCTTATGATCTTTATCTTTCATAAAGACAATTTTTCTTTAATTTTCTTGAGTACAAAGCAGAAGCTTTTCTAAAACTTTTTACTTTTTAACCACATATACTTTCTCCCACAATACCCCAAATTAGCTTTTATTTCACGTATACTATGCTTAGCACCTTGGGTTTTTTAATTTTAAAAAAGTTCCTGTGTGTTTTTATATCTTGGTTTCTTAACAGCTTTATTGAGGCATGATTTACATATCATGAAATTCACCTGTTTTGAGTCGACAGTTCACTGAATCATGAAATTCACCTGTTTTGAGTCGACAGTTCACTGAATCATGAAATTCACCTGTTTTGAGTCGACAGTTCACTGATTTCTAGTAAATTACAGATTGTGTGACCATTATCACAATGTAAGTGTGAAACATTTCCATGACCCCCAAAAGTAATCTCTTGTCCATTTGTCCTCACTCTCCATCCCACCCCTGGGACAACCATGAATGTATGTTTATATTTTTGAGACCATGCTACCTGCCAGCCACAGTGCACACAGCCTTCCCCGGGGGAAACCGAGGCTTGAGTAACTAGTAAAGGATTAAGCTGGAATATGATGCAGGTCCTCCTGACTCCAGAGTTCATGGCCTTTCCAAGGTCAGCCAGCAGAGGTCAAGAGTGGCCTCTCACTGGACAGGTTCGGAGATGACGGTAGCCCAGGCATGGATGTTGGAGGAAGGAGTGACCCCAGCGGGGTCGTGAACTGGATGACCTTTAGGCTCATCCATCCTAAGTTCTGTGCTTCCACGAGTCTGTAAATCCATAAAATGCCTCCAACTAAGCCAGGGACTTATTTTAATGAATAGATAAGAATGATGTGTCATGAACAGACTAATTGCATAGAAAAGGAATGCTTCTGAAGTGCACAGTGTGTTCCCTTAAGCACTTTAAACGCCCCCCAGAGATGCTGTTTGCAGTCACAATTTGCATTATCAATGAAGAGGCAGTTTGCCGAGCAAAGGGGAGCGTCTGCCTTGCTCTCATTCAAATCACCACACATTCCAACATATTGATGTCCAAATTAATGAAAACTTTTGATAGATTTATTCTCACAGCTTTTTAAATCTGAAGTTGGTACTTCTGATGTAAATGTCCTGGTACGCTGGTGTTGCAGGTACATGAGTCGTTGATAGGATGAAATACCCTGTGCTATGATTGAAGAAACATCTGTTATGTGTTTTTTATTATTATTATTATTGCTAGCTTCGTCTCTGTCCATTAAGAGAAATCCATTCTCAAAGCCAGCCAGTTTGGCTTCAGCCCTCCTTTTGGTATGATACCCCTTTCTGTGACACCGACTGTTACCTGCTCCTCCCATCTCCCCAGATTACAGGGACCATGTATTCTTTCTGTATCCTCTGCCCAGGCAAACCTCAGGCCTAGGAAAAGACTTAGGATCCAGCATTTTTCCCTTGGTATGATATTTAGACCCATAAAATCTGCAAATAGAGATTCCAGGTCCAGGGGTTTTAAACCCTGTGGCAATTTTGGAGTAAAAGATAATTGGATCCCTGATAAAGATAGTTCAGACCACAGATAAGAGTTTTGTGATCCATGGATTTCCCTGGGTGCTTCTAAAATTTTATTGCCTATTGTTAAAAGATAAACTGAGGCATATTAAAAAATTTCAAGAGTTTATTCAGGCAGAAATTGATTTGAACTGGGCAGCATCCAATCTAGCAGATAGAAGGACTTTTATAGGCAGAAGAGAGTGGGCACAAGGAAGTTATACTAGGCAAAAAAGCAGGTTGGTTATTGCAAAGTCACTTTCCTCTAGGGGATGGCAGGGGTCTGTAAATTACCTAACGAGTGCTGACCAGGTGATTCCTGATTGACTCATTTAAGACATTTCTGGGAGAACTGAAACTGTAATTCAGTCTTGGTTTGGTGACGTGGGACTTAACAGAAGAACTCCATTTGGGGCCTACTGTCTTGTTTTTGGCAATTTCCCCTTCTGATCAGACTCTCAGCCTAAATGGGAGATGTGATCACAATTTAAGGCATTAACACTACTCCCAGCTGCTGCTCTAAACTTCCCGCCATTTCTGCTGACGCTCTGTGTGGTATTCACAGGTCGTGATGTTGGGTTCACATTCTTTAAGTCGGTCATTCTCTTCGTTCCTTTTCTGACATTCTCGTCTTAGGGAGATCATTTGCTTGGTAGTTAGCAGCTGTGAAGATGCACTTAGAGCTTTTGAGAGAAAACAGCACACCAGGGAGGCTACTGTGATTATTATAAGCAGGATAATTCCCATTGTCAGGAGTACACTTTGGAGCCATGACCCAAAGCAGTCAGAATCAAATAAGTCAACGAAAGACCCCCGCTGAAGGAGTCACTTTCCTAAAGCCAACTGGCTTCTTCAGTGATCTTATAAGCTGAGTCTCAATTTCCCCCAAAGTATCAATCCAAGCGCAACAGGTGGTGTGGGCCACAGCATAAACACCTCTTTGCTCAGCTAAAAGATAATCAAGGGCTGTGCTAGTA